GGGGAGAGAGAGAGAGAGAGTGAGTGTGTGTGTGTGTGTGTGTGTGTGTGTGTCCTGTCCCGCCCGCGTGCTGCCAGGGCGGTGAAGACCCTGGGGCCTGTGTACCAGCCCTGTGTACCTCGGAGAGAGTGTGCCCACAGGAATAAACGCGGAATAAGGACTCGATTGAGGGAAGTGGCCCGTTCCATGGTCGCACGGGGGTACGGGAATTCTCCCTCGTGCTGTCCCCTTCCGACCAGCCCGCAGCCAGGCCCTTGCTGTCCCTGGAGTTCCCCAGGGACACGGCCATGTGACTGCGGTGTTTGTCCCCCACCCAGAGCCAGCTGCAGCTACAGGGTGGGGCAAAGTATCAAAAGCCCCACCCGGCTGGGCTGGGGGGTGAGATGAGAGGGCCACCCCGGGCCTCAGCACCCTGATGGGTCTGGCAACAAAGTGGGCTGATGCCTCTGTCCTTGTCCCTGGGTTTTCCAGCTGCCTGGGGAAGGCAGCCCCTGGGGACTCTCCTTCATCCCCAGGGTTGCCCATCCCCTCCCTCTCAGGAGGAAGAAGGGCCAGAAAACCCACCACAAAGGTGGGAGGTGGGAAGGAATCCCTGGCCGTCTCTCTTTGGTGGTTACTCTTGGCTGGTCCTGGTTCTGGAGGTTGTGCCTGATGGGCTGGGGAGGGTGAGACCAGGATGGGGTGGAGCTGGTTTCTGCTCTCCTGCTGGTTTCAGTTCACAGGTGGGATTAGTCAGACGGACCTACTGATGGTTGGACCTGAGGAGCTAGTTGAAGGCCTGGGCCAGCCCGAGGACCCAGAGTCCTCACCCTGGGCTAGGCATGGTCAACAGGCAGTGGCACAGGTGGTCTTGGTCCATGAAGGGTTAATATGTGAGGGGTGGGGCCCTGGCCTAGCCTCCTCTGCCCATTAGCCCTGTGGGATGAGATGGGGGTTAGGGATGCTTTGGTCCTATTCTGCGCCCCTCCCACCCACAGAGCTTAGAATGGTGGGGGTGGGGTGGTAATTGAACTTGCTGGGGTGAGAAACCAGATGATCTTTTAACCGTGATCTTTGAGCCCTGGTGAGCTCTGCTCCCACAGGTGGGAATTTGAGTGTCCCCGTCTGCAGCAGGAACTGGGCAATATGCGGGGTGGCGGGATGGGTGTAGAATGGGGAGGTATGGCAGCCCCACACACTGCCTATTTTCCAGGGGCCCTGTGAGAGAGAAAGAAGAGCCCACAGCCCCAGGCTGGAGCCAGGGATGTCCAGGAGTATAGGGTTTTAGTAAGGGAGGTGGCAGCCAGGAGCACAGGAACCAGGCAGGCCCATCCTTCAAAGCTGGGCAGGAAACATCCCCCAGTAGGGCGGGGGGTCAGAGGACAAGGGGAAGTGGCTGGGTGGCTCACAGATGGAAAGCTAGCACTGAGAGTTTTGACCTCCCACTCAATCACGTCTGGGCCTTCCCTAGGGCCTGGGACCCAACATGGGTTCCTGTGCCTCCTTCAGTCCTGACATTTTTACCCTGCGTTGCCACGGAGCCTGTCATGGGCCAGATGCTGGGAATGAGATGGTGAACAAACCAGATCCAGAGCCTGCCCTCTGGGATCTTATGGTTGAGGAAGGGGAGACAAAGTTGAAGAAAGAGCTACCAAATTAAATGCAAAACCACAGCTGAGATGGGTAGTATGAGGCAGAAGGTGCTGTGATTTGAAAGTATATAACAGGACTCCGACTTAGCCAGGGCGATCAAGGGAGGCTTCTCTGAGGAGGTGACCAGTGAGCTGGGCTGTCAGATGGAGGGATGGTCATCTACGAAGCCCTTAAGGGCAGGGGCTGTGATTCATCTTTGGGCCTTTGGGACCCAGCAACAAGTCTGGCACAGAGTAAGTGCTTCTTGGAGGTTTGCTGATGAAACGAATGAATGAGCATTAGGTCCATGTCCTGGAAGAACTCCACAACATTTGGGAAAAAAAGGTCTGGGAACCCCAGAGAAGCAGGAAGCCCGAGGGGGTTCTTGAAGCAGTCTCTCAAAAGTGAGCAGATCCTTCAGGACCCACGTGCCATCCTCCCTCACACGCACGCACACACATTCACGCATGCACACAGACACACTCCCTGTGGGAAATGTACAAGGATGGTAGGGTTTACTGTCCTTTCCTTCATTTGTTGTGAGCATGAGGATCCTGGGAGAGAGCAGAGAGAGAATCCAGTGGAGACCTGGGGCCACTGGCAGGCTGGAGGGGAGGCTGGCCTGGCAGGGTTTTGAAGTGGGCTGAGCCTGGGCAGGTTTGTAGGTTTGTGTCAGCCGTCTGCAGTGCTCCCTCTGACAGCTCTACGGGGAGGACAGATGACAGGGCCAGCAGTGGAGGCAAGTAAGACCAGAGGCCAGTGAGGAGGCAGCTGTGGTCATAGTTCCGCTGAAAGGGGAAGTGGTCCCTGGCTATGCAGGTGGAGCAGAGGGATGGTCAAGGCTGACAGTCTCAGAGTTTGTGTTCTCATGCCCCCTGCCTCCAAGAAGCCTTCCCTGATTGCCTTTCCCTTCCTCCAGGGCCTCCGCTCTGTTGGTGGTCTTGGAGCTCCACTCTGGACCAGAATCTGACACTCAAAACTCCAAAATAATCAGTGCTGGAAGGTACTCTAGGCTCGGGGGAGGGTTGGGCATGGTGGGAAACTGAGGCCCAGAGAGGGGAGTGACCGATCTGAGGCCGCGCGGTGTGAGTGGGTGGTGGAACCAGAGCTAGACTGCAAGGCCCCTGCTTCCCTGCGGTGCTGGGTTCTCCCAGCTTTGCTCCCCTTCCAGCAGGGAGGAGGCTGCCCCAGCGCTGGCTGCCAAGGCCCAGGAAAACACATTTTTTCCCTCTGTCCTCACAGAGGAAGCAGAATGGTTCAGCAGCCAGAGAGGAGCCCAGGCCAGTGGGTGGGCCGTCTACAGGATGTCTCTGGAGTGGACTAGGGGCCAGAGAGGGGAGTGCAGGAGGGCTGGTGGCTGCTGACGGGGCCAGGCCCGCCGTCAGTCCCTGAGAGTAAGTCCATTCTCCGTGCCTCCAAAAGAACGCTGGGAACCTGCAGACCTTGGAGTTCGACTCTGCTGGCCTCAAAGGGAAGAAGAGAAAAAATAGGGGTGGGGTGGGCAAGAGATGTGGGGGCTGGCACTGAATAAAGGGCCTTGAACTGGGGGGTCAGGACCATTTACCTGCTGTGCGACTTCAGGCAAGAGATACCCCTCCCTTTTGGGCTAAGTGAGGAGGCAGGGCCAGATGCCCTCCAGGGCCCTTTCCTGTGTGACCCCAGCCAGCCAGGAGATGTGGAGGCCAAGCAAGGTCCCAGCGCCTGCTACCGGCCTGACCCCTCCTGGACAGACTCAGCCATTCTAATAACCCCCAGGTGCTCACGGGGCTCTACAGTTTGTACCTCTTGGCAGGTATTTTCTGATCCTGCAGTTGGAATAGTGGAGACCCAGAGAGGTGGGCCTTGCCCCAGGTCACACAACCTGGAGAAGACAGAGATGGGGCTCAAACCCAGGCTTGCCTCAATCCATTGCTCCTTTCCTTGCGTCCCATACCCCAGCTGGGGGCCAAGCATCATGAGGGTGGAACCCCTTCTCCCTTCCCATCTTCCTGGCATCTGTGTATAATCCTTGCCATGCGGAAGCAAGGAAGCAGATGGAAAGGAGGAAGAGTTGAAGACAGGGCAGGAGGTTTTTCTCCTGGACAGTGTTCAGCGAGGCTTGGGCTTGGCACTCGGTTCAGACACTGACAAGCTGGGTCATGGTGTCAGAGACCACCCACCCACATCTCACCAGTGCCTGTCCCCGGCCGGGCCCTGTGCGGCTGGCCTCAGCACCCAGAACTGCTTCGGCCTGCTTCCTGCCGCGGAGCTCCCTGTCCGGTGGGGAGACAAGGGAACAGACCATTACAAGACGGGGAGAAGCGCTAGGGTGGGCGGCGCCTGAGAAGTTCTGTGGGTCCGGGAGGGCTTCCTGGAGGAGGAAGGATGAGCAGGAATCTTCCAGATAAAGTCAGGGGAGAAGTGTCACAGGGTGTGGAGTGGCCCAGAGGGAACAGGGTGTGGGAGAGAGGAAGTGAAAGAAATTCGGCGCGGCGGAGGTGCCAAACGGAGGTGGGCAGTGCTGACAGGCCTGGGATGCCACGCAGGTGGGCCTGGACTCTGTCCCAGGGATAGGAAGGAGCCACGGAAGGTTTTCCTCTGGGTGGTGACATGGTCAGAGTCACATGCTGGAAAGATCCTCCGGTTGCTGTGTAGAGGATGAGTGGAAGCCAGCAGGAGAGCATTCTAGGCCCTCCCTAGGTGTGTGTGTGTGGCGGGGGAGGGGAAGCGGCCCTTTAAGAGGACTGTATTGAAGGGCAGGATTGATGGGGGTGGTGTATGAGGGTCTCTAGTGGCATCTGTGAAAGGCCAGGCTCCTGACTTCGGA